ATCACTCACATCGAGGCACGCATCTCCTCGCCTGAGCTCTCATGACTGTGGAGATTCTGCAATGGTCGTAAGTGTGAAAAATGGTCATAAGTCACTTTTTTCAGTGCCATTGTAACTTTGAATGGTCACTCCACACAAGCAAAGTACCAGCAAAGGAGGGGGGAAAAATTCCAGAGACATTCCTGAGACAGGAAGTGTAGTCCTGCCAAGAATGTAATAAGGGTTAATGGAGAGGCAGTTTCTATAAGCAACACCAGAATGTTTCCTTCCTGCCTTCCTTACAGGATTAGGCCAGTAATTTCTTCTAACAACCGGTTCTCCGAACTGCTTAGAATGTTAACAACCGGTTCCAGCGAATAGGTGCGAACTGGTAGAATCCCACCCCTGGCTAGACTGATGCAGGATTCTTTATCCTCTAATTCTACAGATAGTCGGCAACTTACAATAGTTCGTTTGGTGATCATTCAAAGTTACAATGGCATTGGAAAAAGTGACTTATGACTCTTTTTCATACTTACAACTATTGCAGCATCCTCATGGTCGTGTGATCAAAATTCAGATGCTTGGGAACTGAGTCATATTTATGATGGTTTCAGTATCCCAATCACTTTTTGCCAAGCAAAGTCAATAGGAAGCCACATTCATCTAACAACCATGTTACTAATTACTACTAACTATAGTAATTCACTTAACAACTTAGCAAGAAGGGTCGCAACATGGGACAAAACTCACCTAACCACTGTCTCACTTAGCAACATAAATTTTGGGCTCAATTGTGGCCAAAGGTCCAGGACCACTTGTATATAACTGTAGAATTCTACATCTTTCTGATTAGAATTATTTTAATTGTACATAATTCTAATTGTTCTGATTTTTGGCCATCACAGAGTGACGTAGCTCTTTTCCTACAATGGTTTTGAGAGGTTGAGTCTATCTCATTTTGTCAAGGAGCAGAATATTTTCTTGAAGGACACTGGAAAAAACCTCAGCTGGATAAGTCTGAAGGTCTTCAATCTAACAGCAGAAGGAGAGAGAGTTAAAAGTGTGGACCTTCCCACTAATCATATTATAAATTCGTTGGATTTGGCAGAAAAAGTCTGGCAGCCTCTCTTTTAACAGGTTTACTAAACGGTTTAAATTGTTGATGTTATTCAAAGGACTTAGTCTTTTTTTCAGGGTGGGAAATTCAAAACAGATTAATGTATAATGTTAACTCCTGTAGGAAGTTAGCACCCACCCTTCTCCTAGAAAAATGAAATATCCCAGGAAATATTAAAAAGGCAGAATATTTCCCCTAAAAAGAGTAGAAACTCAGAAGCAGAAACTCACCTTAGAAGCTGAAGCTCACCCCCCACTTTGCTAATGGACCATTATTCTGGCCTAGGCCAGTCTATTTTACATAACAAAGATCTCCAGGTAGAGCTGTAATAGGAATTGCCCAAAGCCTTTTCATTACATCATCACCCAGCAAGGCTCAACCAAGCCTGGGACTAAGGACAGCCTACAGAGTTGCCCCTGTATAGCCCCATGGGAGTCTAACAACCAATTAGAATACAAGCTCAACTTCAAATCCCAACAGAGGGCATAAAACCCAGGGTCTTTCAGCATCTCTTCCCTTTTCCTTCTTTCTTTACCCAAGGCATGTGATCCTGTCCACCATTAAACTATCTCTTCAAGCAGTCATCACGTATCTAGTGTCTTTCTTCCCCACTTGGAACTGAACACAGAAGGATATTTCTTCCAACACTCCAGTAGCTGGGTTGATCTGGATGATATCATAAATATAAATCTGTATTAGGAAAATAGTTTTCTAGCTCAATTTCAACATTTATAAAATCAAATCTTTTGACTTCCTCAATTTTGAAGACTGAAAAAAGGCAGCCAAGTCAGTTATGCTGTTACTGTAGTCTATTACTTAATTTCAATGGTTTTAATATTCCTTTGGTACCATATTTTCTCTGCTTTTTGAACACCATAGAGGAAACACAGGTAGTTTTCAACTTACAAACATTTCTTTAGTGACCATTCAAAGTTATGACAGCACTGAAAAAAGTGACTTTTCATGCTTACAATTGTTGCAGCATCCCCCATGGTCACATGGTCAAAATCTGGGCGCTTGGCAACTGGCATGTAGTTATGACAATTGCATGTCCCAGGGTCATGCGATCACTATTTGTAATATTTCTAGCCAATGTCTGAGAGGCAGTCAATGGGAGAAGCCAATTCACTGAAAAACAGCTGTGATTCACTTAACAACTGTGGCAAAAGGTCATAAAATGGGGCAAACCTCACTTAACAATTGCCTCATTTAGTAATAAAAATTTTGGGCTCAGTTTAGGTCGTAAGTTGAGGACCATCTGTATACTGCAAGGCAGATAAGTTTGAACATTTTTAAATGACAACTGTTTTGGATTATAATTCGCATCATATCAGCAAAGCCTTTCCATCTGGGTGGGAATTCTAGGAGTTTTTCAGATGCTACTGGCTTTTCAGGTTGGGAAAATAGCAATAGCACTTAGACTTATATATTTCTTCATAGTGCTTTACAGCCCGCTCTAAGCAGTTTACAAAGTCCGCTTATTGCTCCCAACAATCTGGGTCCTGATTTTACCAACCTTGGAAAGATGGAAAATTGAGTCAATCTTGAGATGGTCAGAATCAAACTCCTGGCAGTGGGCAAAGTCAACCTGCAGTACTGCACTTTAACCAGTATGCCACCACAGCTCTATGATTATATGCAATATAATGCAATATATGACATCCCTACTGCCTTCCCAAGTTAATAGAAAGGCATATTAATCTGTTGCAGCAAACTCAAGGTCTCTTGTGGCAATTTAATAACAGGCTTAATAGATCCCCTAAAATGATTCCCACAAAAGCATGCTAATTTTTAAAGTACCAAGAAAGGAGACTCTTTGCAGCTCAGTGTTGAAATCAGTGCACTGCTGATGTTACCTAGTTTGGGTAATGAAATGTCTGAAAAAAAACCAGGCTCAAAGAGCACCAAGGGCCCCATTGTTTTTAAAGTATTATACCAATTTTGTGATGTGTCTTGCCTTGTGCAGTGATCATAAAGTCAAGGGAACTCAGCTGGGCCCAAATATTATCCTTTCTACAGCTAATTTCACTGGAAGAAATCAGATGGAATCCAGTCATACATTTGCACCCCGTCCAGAATGTCTACTGTCCATTGCTTTGTACAATGATACAAAAAAAAGTACCAGAACCTTTGAAATCAATAAAATGTAGGCTATAAAAATGTTATAATTGACTTAGCTGCCCTTTTTTCAGGCTTTAGAATGCACCAGAATGCATGCATCAAAGGATTTGATTTTATAATTAAACTAGGCTAGAAAACTATTTTCTTAATATGAATTTAATAGGGATTTTCTGGATCACACTTGATCCCCATCCAGGAAGCCAGGCGTGTGATTAGGATTAGGCATCCCTAAATTCTCACCAGGGTAACGGCTTCTCTCCCTGCCAGGCTCACTCTATCTTTCCAAACCATTGGCCCCAACTTCCACCCAGATTCCCTGACTGTCTGGGTGCCCTTCCAAACCCCAGGCTCCCCCAGGGAGACCTGCGGTGCAAGATCCGAGCGAAGAGGCAGCCAGGCGGAATCCTTGCGACACTGCCTGCGGGTTCAACGAGGGGGTCGTTGAGGACAAGATGAACCCCCACGAGAACCTTTTCGATGCGGGCGGAGCTGGCGAAGACATTCGGTAAAAAGACGCCGTGGGACCCTCAAGTCCCTTGCTGAATGCTTGGCAGGGCGGAAAGCTGCGATCTTTCCTGCGAGTTAAAAGGGCCGCTCCAGCCTGGGAAAGAAGCGGCTAGGAACCCTAAGGACTGAAGTGCAAGAATACTCGAGAAGGACTAGCGGCTTGCAAAGTCTTCTAAGGAAACGGAATCGAGAGGAACAGTGGAAGCCTCTAAATTGCTCGGCTAGCTATAATTTGAAACCTCCTTGGGTGTTTTGGGGAGCGGGTAGGACGGCGGTGGGTATGTGCGTGAGTTTGCAATGCCAGGATCGGGCTGGCTTTTCGCTCCGATTCCTGAGCCCACGAGCTGTTGGTGGCGGCGGAGGAGGAGAAAAGAAGAAGGAGGAAGGGTTTGCTCTTTGGGAGACTGACAGCTGATCCCTGGATCAGGTTCCCCATCTCCCCCACCCCACCCCTTCTGCTCAAGATATCAGCAGCCCCCGGGCAGCCGGACTCCTCCCACTACGAATAACTTTCGCTTTCACTCGCAATTGCAAGGGAACTGGGCCTTTTCATTGTATTGTATTCCCTTTTCGCCGGATATAACGCACGTGCCAGGACAGCTGGCAACTCTCCTGCAGCACCTCCGCTCTTGTGGAAGAAGGGTGTGTGCACCGAACGACGTCCTCCCCTCCCAGACCCCAGAACAACTACTGACCTCCCGGGACGTGGCGCGTTTCCTCTACATGCCCGCGTCGCATCTTTGCAGGTAAGCTAGAGGGTTATTTCTTGCTAGCCAGAAGGGCTAATCCTCCCCCACGCGCCCCATTCCTTCAAGCGGAGAGTGTCGAGGAGGGGAAAGCAGGGGCTGCCGCCACTTTCGTTTTGGGGGGAGGTGGAGCGGGGAGCCTTCCGGGGAATGTCAAGGGCTGGGTCCTAACTTGGATAGCGGGCAAGGGGCTTCGGGGACTCTTTCCCCATAAGCTCGGTGAGTTGGTGAGTTGGAGTTGGTGAGTTGGAGTTGGAGGCTTGGGCGCGCGGGATACCCCCTCTGCGGCTCAGGAATTTCGGGTTTTCTTCAGGCGAACCACCTGCTGGATATTTTTGTTTTGGCTGCAGGAGCAAGCGCCTGATCGTGGGAACGAGGGGCTCATGGTCTGGGGCTGATAATCATAATTTCTGAGAATCCATCATCCCCTGGTGAACTTCCTGGGCTCCTGTGGTACTTGGGCTGGTATCCGTGATGGGGCTGAGCCCTCATTTTTAAAGGGTTTTGGACAGAACATCCTCACATGGCCTCGGATATTCCAATGGACAGCTTAGTTTTCCAATGGTGGAATTCTGCAGCAGTCATATTTTTTCCCCTTTCAGGTGCTTTGTGTGGTTTTTTTAAAAAAATTACATAATGAAACAGAACTTTTCCCAGTACAGGTAGTCCTTAACTTACAACAACTCATTTAGTGACTGTTCGAAGGTACAATGTAACTGAAAATGACTTATGACCATTTTTCACACAACCATTGCAGCATCCCCCGTGGTCACGAGATCAAAATTTGGATGCTTGGCAACTGCTTCATATTCCTGGGTTCATGGGATCCCCCTTTGGAACCCATCTGATCAGCAAAATCAATGGGGAAGCCAGGTTCACTTAACATCCGTGTTACTAACTGAACAACTGCAGTGATTCATTTAACACTATGGCAAAGAAAGTCACATGGGGCAAAACTCACTTAGCAACTGTCCGCTTAGCAACATACATTTTGGGCTCGATTGTGGTCATAAGTTGGGGACTACCTGTACTTAAGCTGTAGTAATGATGCTCTACTACCTACAAAGGAGAAAAATTTGGGGTGTTTATGGGTATCACAGCATGCCATCTAAAGGATGAGGGGAAGATGATTAGAAAGGTAACAGTGTCTGTTTCTCCCCCACATCCTTTTGTGTTCAATCTTTGCAAGGTAGGAAGAACACAGTTTTGCAAAGCTCCCCAAGGCCAGTGCAAGTGAAAGGGGTAGGGAGAATGTCCCTTCTCCCTCCCCCCCCCATATTTATATGAAGGTTTCAAAAAACAAACATCAAAAACTATGCTGACCCATAAGGAATAGCAAATAAAAATTTCCCCTCTCTGCTAGCGAAAGTGCGATTGAAATAACTGAAATGACTACTGCATATACATTGCAGTAGTATTTGATTAATGCGGTTGATATCATGAATGATAACTATGTGAACGGAAGTACTGGGACTGCATATCATGTAAACAGTATAATCTGCCAGTGTATAAACAGAAAAGTTCTTTGTAATTGCCATTAATTTGACGTGGAAACTGGTTTGGTGGTTTGTGTGGGATCAAAGCCAACTTAGTAAGGGCTTCAGAAGAGATTTTAGAGATTTTTTCTTCACTATTTAAAAAGCAATCTGGTGCTAAGTCAATGAAGCTTTGTTGGTCTTGAAAAATGATCAGAACCAGACCTGGAAAAGACAAGGAGGAAAATTCCAGGATTACAGGGTAGAGTGGAAACTAGGACAATGATGAGGTGGAAGATGGCGGCAAGAAGAAGACAACTGGCAAGTTACTTTTAGAAGTCATTATTTCTGCTTAGAAAACTGGTGAACATGTCTATAATGTTATCAGGAGACAATTTGAAGGATAGGGGTTTTTTAAAATACATTTTTCAGAATCTTCCAGCTCAGTAGAATGCTCCATATACCTGGAACCCAAGGAAGTAAAGAAAATAAAAACCATTAGGTAACGATATGATTCAGTGTGGGAAATTCTTGAAGTTGGGAGTTGAGAAACACTGCCCTGTTCTTTTTGCAGTCTTCTAAAAATGAAATAGTTCCAGTTCACCTTTTATTCACTTAGAAAATATATAACGTTGTTAATAATCTATTACATTCACACATTTTATGATGATTTCATATCCTAGCTGTTGTGAATCATCAAAAAAAATTTTGATGGTATACACTATTCTTTATTTTATTTTTTTGCTTTTTCCAATGTCCCTGCAGAGTTTCTCTTGGCACCACCTGAGTTGCCTGCTGGACTGATTTACTCCCCCCCCCCCTTTAAAAAAGTGTTCAGTAAAAATGGAAAAGATAGCTTACTTCAAAATAAAATACCAGCCTAACATTATCTTTTTTTAGAAAATAAAAATGACAGTTGGATACAGCCCAATATAAATGTGCCCAATACTCCCCTGGGGAAAAAAATAAAGCTCCTGGATTTGGTAGATTTTGGTAAATTTGGAAATTCTCATGCTATTTAATGAGGGGATTAGTTTTTTCAAGAGCTCTTATAATTTGCTCTTATAATTTAAATTGGTTCCCAAGCCTCTTGGCTTTCTTGGCAGGTTTTGTGGACAGAAAGTTCCATGTTGAATCTCTAGTAAAAGGAGATGCTGGTAAATATCCTGTCCAGACATTTGCTGAACAATTTGGAGAAATTCATGCAATAGATATTGGGTTAGATCACTGTTTCTCAACCTTGATAACTTCACTACAACTCCCACAATTCCCCAGCTGGGAAAAGCTGCCAAGGTTGAGGAACACTGGGCTAGGTAAGTAAAGGAAGTTATCCAGTTCAACAGGTTCATGTATTCAGTGGCTCTATTACCTTTCCGTATCTAACTAAGCACCATATACTCTTTCCATCCAGAGTCCTCTGCTCAATGGAGGATCTTAGCCTCTGAAATTCGGCAGCCCACAGACCCTTTTAACTTTTTGTAGATCCTTAAAAACCTGATTCCCCCCCTTCTCCAAAATATTGGGAGACTAAAAGTGATACATTTGCACAGATTGACACTGGATTTTTGTTTTTATTTTCTTTTTTATGTTTTAACTGAGTGTGTTTTGCAGTTTGTAAAATGATGCTATTGGGAGCTACCCGGACATGTCTGAAAGATGGGCAGCTACGTGAACGTTTTAAATAAATAAATATATTTCAACTATTAAATCCGCTTTGATACTTTATGCATTTATTAAAAAACAGCGATTCATCAGTTGGGTCATGATGACTAAAAAAGTCATTGTCTAAAGGAAGAAGAAAGAAGGAATGGTGTAGAAGAAGGAAGTATTAAATGCTTTAAAATGCTTACTTATAACTTGTATGAAAAAAACTCTAGAAAAGCCTACCTTCAGAAGAGGGGGGAATTACCTCCTTAATCCTCAATTTATGACCACAATTGAGCCCAGAATTCCCATTGCTAAGTGAGGCATCTCATTTTTATGACTTTTTTTTTTGCCATAGTTGCTAAGCTACTCAGTTGTTATATGAATTATGGGGTCATTAAACGAATCTGGCTTCCCCATTGACTTTGCTTGTCAGAAAGTTGCAAAACATGACCTGGGACACAGCAACCATCACAAATATGAATCAGTTGCCAAGAATCTGAATTTTGAGCGTGGGGATGCTGTAATGGCTGTAGGTGTGAAAAACGGTCATAAATCACTTTTTTCAGTGCTGTTGTAATTTCAAATGGTCATTAAATGAACTACTAGTACTGAATATATTTAATTGCATGGTGTCTTTTGCTGCTTAATCTTCTCAATGTGCTTTCTTTTATTCCAGAACCCCTTCTCTTCTTTTTTAAGCGGAAACCTCAGCATGCTGGCCACCCACCAAACTACATGGAGATGATTTGGTATCATGATACTCCAGATTCTTCTGTGGTAAGTCAGATGATATAAATTGATGACAGCTCTCTGCTGTTGCTTCCCCTTCAGAGGAGGTAAACTAGAGACCCCAGAACTCCTGGACATCATGGCCAGTGGAATTCTAGGAGTTGTATTCCTTTTTAAATATTTTTTAAATAATTTTTTCTTAATATACAAATGAAAATAGACAGTGGGGAAAATCGGTAAAGGGAAAAGGAAAAAAGTGGGGGGGCAAAGAAAGAAAAGAGCAGAGTCTTCCAACTTTTTTGATGCAGCAAATTATATATTAAAAACTATAATCTCAACTTTTTATATAAGAATAGTATTAGCCACTTTTATAACAAAAATCTGTTTAATCATCAAAACCCGAAGTTAGAATTTTTTTGCCTTGTTTTGAGCAGGAAGTTCAGGAGGTTTTGAAAATGGAAACTAATGTAGATACATTCTTATCCCCAATTAAGACAGTTAATTTTGCCATCTCTACTAATTCCATCACCTTTTCAATCCATGGATTGACATAGTTTCCATTTTTGTGCATATAAGATTTTTGCTGTAATCAGCACATATAAATTCCATTTTTCCCCAAGTTCTTTATCCAGTAGTCCTAAAAGAAACATTTCAAATTTTTGATTATATATTCATTTTCTGAAACTTGGGGAGCTGTATTCCTGACATATTTGCAGAGTCCCAGCTTCCAAAAAGCTTCTGTATTGCAAACTACTCTTGTACTTTAAAAAGGATTCAGAAAGAAGAGGGAAGTTAAAATTGTCAGAACACTGGAAGCTAAATTGTATGAGGAGTGGTAAAAAGAATCAGGGATGTTTAGCCTTAAGAAACAAAGATAGATCTTTGTCTGGAGGTTAACATCTATAGGTCTGGTTCTCGTGTTAACACCACCATCTTGATTTTTTAATCTCATCTCACCCTACAGAAACTCTTGATTCTCCTGTATAATTTCCAGGCTATAGAATTCTCATGCTTTGACTCTCATTTTTTAACTTTTGCAAGAATCACAATTGGCAATCCTTTTTTAAAGCATCTTGCACATAGGTGCCCCTAAAAGTGATCAAAGCACATTTATTTCCTCAGACTTTTAGTCATTGTTGTGAGCGCTTTTTTCTCCATTCATTGATTTTGTATTTTACTTCTACAAGTTAAACTACGAACAAGAGATTCTCAAAACAGAAATTTGGTTCTGTCAACAAGTGAAAGTCACATAGTGCAAAAATTGAAAAAGGCTAAGCAACAGAGGTAGGTTCTGACCAGTTCTGGAGAACTGGTAGAGGAAATTTTGAGTAATTCAGAGAACAGGCAAATACCACTGGAGATTTTACAGTATCCTTCCCCTGCCACGCCCATCAGGCCATGCCCACAGAACCGGTAGTAAAAAAGTGTGAATCGCACCACTGCTAAGCAATCATCCAATAAACTATGAAAAAAAATCTGGGTATAAGAAAGAGCTCTACTTCATTTGGAAACTAGAGTGATTACTTCTTAGTAATAAAGATTTTTAGCTAACAGAGCTCCATCAAAGTAGTTTCTGCTGAGACAGGTGGTGGTTTGATTTGCTTGCAGACTTTAACAGAACAAAAAAAACTGGATTAAACATAGAATAAAATAAATATTAATCAATTAATCCACCTCCCACACATTCTTCAAGCTTTATTAACTATGAACAGCATATTCTAATGTAAAATTAAGTATAATCTAATAAAGCCACAGAATAAATAAATAAACTAATTTATGAGCAACTCATCTAGTTTAACCTCAAAGAGTATGCTTTTTTAAAAGATTTTTTCAGAGATTTGGGAGGGTTTGTTTTAGGTAGCTTCTCTTGACTTGATTCATATATCATGCTAAGTTCATTTATATTATTAAGGAAACCACAGCTATGCAAAGTCCAAGCCAAGGAAACCACATTATCACTTAACATAATATGTAATTTAACTATTTCATGGACATTTTGCTAGATTTACACGTTAAATTTAGTTTGTAGATAAATATGTAAGAATCAAGCCAAAAGTAGTCTATAATCATGATTTAGCTTAGTATTAATGAAACTGACATGATTAATCAACTGGCTAAAATAGACTAAGACTGAAAAACATTGTTGAGTGTCACAATTTCTGAACCCAATAGTGTATTAAACCATTTTACATCCCCTTTTAATAGGGAGGAAAATGTAAAATAAAGCATGAAACTCTTTTTTCGTTATATGGTGATATAACGATCCATTACCATCATTTTATCCATATGTGGAAACTCTGCAAGATGAATAGGCTAGTCTTGGAATTAGCTAATTTTAATTCTAAGATCTAGAAATAGCTAACTTTAATTCTAAGGCCAAGCTAGTGACGTCCATGCCTGAGCATTAATTGAACTTAGGACCTTTCCACAAACATTCCCAAGATTAAACAATTTTGGATCTAGACTCAAATGATAGTGTGAAGAAGCACAAAGTGTTATTAGTGCACTCCTGATATGTAAAAATAGATTTTAATTGACACAAGAACATTGATCCCACAAAAATCCCCTTGAGGAGTTACAATAGGTCATACATTTCAAGTGCTTTGTTGGCAGCAATGAAATTATTTCCCAAAGTGGCCTCCTTAAGACATATTTGGAATAGACTTCTGTCCCCAAGTTAGGAATGGCTGATCCATCATCCCATTAGTATACAATATTTCAAGACTTACTAGATATTGCCTAATTATTTTTTTATAAATAAAAGCATGAAAGAATAATACGTGTTTGGAATGGTTCTCTGAATGAAAAACACTCTTAAATATTTGCAGATTATCTTGATCTACAAAACAAGGATGGCATTCAGGAAGGACTTCAGAAGCTTATGGATGAGATAAGAGGAATAAAGTCAGGGATGTATGAATAGAAGAGAATATTTGTACCAATGTACAAATATTGTACCAATAGGAGAGATTATACATAGCTCGGAGTTGAAGTGTAGAGTCCCTGGTGCTCTCTGAGCTTGAAGATGTCACCTATTTAGAATAGAATAGAATAGAATAGAATAGAATAGAATAGAATAGAATAACAGAGTTGGAAAGGACCTTAGAGGTGTTTTAGTCCAACCCACTGCTTAGGCAGGTAATCCTATACCATTTCAGACAATTAAAATTTTTCAGTGTTGGAGCATTCACAACTTCTGGAGACAGTTGTCCTAACAGTTGTCAGCAAATTTCTCCTTAGTTCTAGATTGGAACTCTCCTTGATTAGTTTCCCTCTATTTGAATAATAAAACATTCTGCAAGAAACCAACCAAGCTCAGAGAGCACAAAGGACTCCACTCAGGAATAGTTTTTTTAATTACTGTAATTAAAATATTCAGTAAAAATAATGTAGAGGTACATAGATATAGATAAAAAGGAATGTGCCAATTGTCTCCTAGGTCTTGCTGCTTCTATTGCTGTTTTTCTCCCCATTTGGGCTACTCAAGGGCTGCAGCTTTAATTATTCACCTATCGCTACTTCTGACTTTTCCCAGGATATAAAACCCCTGGTGAGTATGAATACATTGCATAGTTCAGCAGGCTGCCAGCCCCGTTTGGTAGAACAGAGCAGGAAATCACCTGCAGGAAGATTAAATCTAGTGACAGACTATAATTTATTTAACAAACTTATATTGCTGCCCATTTCAGGGGAAAAAAAGACACTCAGTGGTATAGAACAATGAATTAAAATAAATATATAAAACAATAATTCAGATTTCAAACTATACAAAATAATTACAAAATCATGCAAGCCTAATTGCGTTGTATTTCCCCCAATCATCCTATACTCCTGAGAATCAGGGAGGTGCCTTCTTGAGCCACTTTGAATATTACCTTGTTTCTCAGGCCTTAAAAATGTTTCAACCCCTTTTGCCTAGAATAGATAATGGTTCTTATATATCCCTATCAAGGTCATCTTCAGGGGTGGGATTCTACCAGTTCGCACCTATTTGCTAGAACAGGTTGTTAACATTCTAAGCAGTTTGGAGAACTGGTTGTTAAAAGAAATTACTGGCCTAATCCTGTAAGGAAGGCAGGAAGGAAACTTTCTGGTGTTGCTTACAGAAACTGCCTCTCCGTTAACCCTTATTACATTCTTGGCAGGACTAGACTTCCTGTCTCAGGAACTTCTCTGGAGGTTTTTCTCCCTCCTTTGCTGGTACTTTGCTTGTCTGGAGTGACCATTCAAAGTTACAATGGCACTGAAAAAAGTGACTTATGACCATTTTTCACACTTACGACTGTTGCAGCATCCCCAAAGTCATGAGAGGCCAGGCGAGGAGACGCGTGCCTCGATGTGAGTGATATTGAGTTGGGCACGCCCAGCCAATAACATGACCCACCAAGCCATGTCCACCCAGTCACATGACCACCAAGCCATGCCCACCAACTAAGCCACGTCCACATAACCAGTTGCTAAAAAATTTGAATCCCACCCCTGGACAATTTCCTTACTCTGCACATCTTTTTATTCTTGTTTTTACTTCTATCAAAGGCAGAAATGCAAGTGCTGGTGATAGTGATGAAAAATTATACAAAAAATCAATGCAAAATACATGTTTGTAGAAATGACACACTGTCCCTTTTTTTGTGTGGAGTTTTTTACAGGAAAAAACTAAAATCCCAAATAATTAAAATATAATCATCATACTGGCTACATGTCCAGGGAAATGTCTTGGGACAAAGCTAGCTCCCTCAGCTAAGAAATGGAGATGAGCTGAGCCCCTTAGAGTCAGATAGGAAAACAGTTACCTTTTTACCTTTATAGTCATGTTCTCACCTTGGGCCTCTGCAAAACAACTGCATCTCATCCTTCCCTTTTGAGTCCCCAAAGTAGAAAGATAAGGAGCAAATCAGAAGGTGACAAAGAAAACTGAAATGCGTAAAAGAGAAAAGCAGTTGTAAATTCTATCTTGTCAAAAGTTTAGGATGAATATTTATGAAGGCAGACTTAAAATTAAAGTATTAGTTATGGCACCACACAAAATTAAGCTACATCATTCTACTGTGACATGGCACTCTCCAAAGCTGTTGAACTACACATTCCATCATTCCTCGATAGGAGGACAATTACTCGTGATCAGGGAATTAAGGGCACTTTATTTCCACTCTTCAGCCTCCCCATGGAACTTAAATACAAAGAGCATCTAATTTAATGGCATTTTACAAGTAGTCCTTATGACTGATTGCTTAGTGACTGGTCAAATTTATAACAGACTTCCTTTTGACTTAGTTCCAAAGTCAGGCCTCCGCTCTTCCCCCGTGATCATATGACCATGCGTTACTCAATAACTAACCCATACAGGTAGTGCTTGACTTACAACAGTTCATTGAGTGACCGTCCAAAATTACAACATCACAGAGAAAAGTGACTTATGACTTATGTGATCAAAGTTCAGACCGTTGGCAACTGACTCATATTTATGACCACATGATCCCCTTTTATGACCTTCTGACAAGCAGAGTCAATGGGGAATCCAGATTCACTTAACAACCATGCTGCTAACTTAGCAACTGCTGTGATTCACTTAACGACTGGGGCAGGAAAGATCGTAAAATGGGGTAAAACTCACTTAATAAGGTTGCACCGAGCAACATAAATGTTGAGCTCTATTGTGGTTGTAAGCCGAGTACTTATCTGTATTTACAGCTATTTGTAGCATGCTGTGGATGATTAGGATGGTTTTGCCAATAGCTAGCATTTAATCCTGGTTTTTGGCAAAATCGGCCAATTGGTTTACTTAACAACTTTATTAGAATGGTGACAGTCACTTTAACGACCACGATATTTGCTTAACGACCGTGACAGTTGTTTAAACACCACCGCACAAGAGGTCATAACATTGGGTTTCTCACATGGGTGATCTTATTTATGACCATCACTACCATAATGGAGGGTCGTAGCTCAAAGATTATCTGCAATCTTGTCTTTCTCTTTCTCTCCCCTCAGAAAGAATATTTGCTCCTGGACTACAAAGTATCGATGAAGTTCATTCTGAAACCGGTACAGTCTTTATGGCAGCTTTTACCTCAGGGGTGAGGAACTATGGCCCCTTTATGGTCTATGAACTTCAACTCCCAGAATTCCCAAGCTGGCTGGCTCTGGAATTCTGGGAGTTGAAGTTCACAGCTCGTAAAAGGGCCATAGTTCTCCACCCCTGTTTTACATGAATACTTTCACCTTTCAGTGAAATCAACAACATTGCTGTTGTTGGTTTGGCAAAAATGTATATTGTACATTGATTGTTGATTATTCTACTATTGTATATTGATCGTTCTACTATTCATGAAAATAGCCAAACCTCTTTCATGGAACTGCCCATGACACATTAGCTAAAGATGACAGGCCAACCTCCAACAAATTTCCTGCCACAAAACTGAGAATATTGCCTGCTGTTGAAATAAGACTCTTGTATCTAGCCAATATTTTGTAGGAGGAAGTTCAAAGTTGGTGGGGTTCAATTTGGAAATGCTTTGGAGGGTGTGTGTTTTTTTAATTAATATGCCTATTTTAGGCATCTTCTATGCTAACGGCAAAGAAAATCAATTCTTGCAATTGTTTTGAGCTACCAAAATTCCTTGTGTATGTCCATGATAGGGTAATGGGAAATGAAGTCTGCAAGGGTCCTTAACATCCTTTGCATATCTGTTGAATGTTCCTGGTTTAATCTTTGGCTTGTCCAGCCACATCTGGCAAAGTCTTGTCTCAAATAATTGAAAAGCTGCTGGTGACTCCTGATCAGGCCTGTGGAACCTTCCAACTATGTAGAAAGAGCTCCCAAACTGAAAAACTGGAT